TAGTCATCCCGAACCTGAAATAGACTGGCGTAGTGGTCCCAAAGCTGAAATAAACCGCCATAGTGGCACCAAACCTGGAATAAATGGCCGCTGTGTTGGAGAATTTCGATCGCTCTGTTCCATCATTTTGGTCGCTCTCCCTTTTCCTTAATTCTATTGTCTGAGATAGTGAATTGGCCGTAGGTTCTCCAAAAATGAATTCTGAGGGAGTTTAATCAAATGGTTGAAATTCTCTCTTTTCTTCTCCCCCTTAGCATTTTAAATCTTTTTCTCTGGTTTTCCATTTCATTGCTGGAAACATAAAATAACGAGGTATTTTCCTCAAAATTTTAATTGCCGCGAAAAATAAAGGAACTAGGGGATATTACGTTTTTCTCTTTCCCCCTACTGTTCCCAATCCTTTCTCCCATCTTTAGTTTAGGTACAAAAATAGACAAAAATTTGAGGCCTCATTTCGGTCCCCGTCGTATGCCGCAAAACGTTGCGGCGAAGTCGGTTCCCGCAATGCCTCTCCGCGGCAGGCCAATCCGAGTCTAGCTCTCTAAACGGCCAGGAATGACGGCCCCTTGATGCGCCAAGTGTGGCCACTTATCTCGCCATCTTTGAGGACTACTTGTAAGGCTCAGCGCGCCCAGAATCACGGGTGCCCTGAGTTCCCCTAATTTTTGTTGCCTGGTCATACGAGAGTACCATCAAAACGCGGACTTGTCCCTGAGTCTAAGTCCCAAAACTGCAGATCTCAAGCGGCGCACTGCTTGCGGCCGCCTGACACCGTGATGAGCGCGTTTGGAGCCCAATCGTGGATTTGGCAAGGACGACCGCATCCTTATAAACACACACCCGTGCTTGGTGGACGACGACGAACGAGCAGTACCCACGACTGTTAAACGACAACTCCATCGCTCTATTGTCGAAACGATGGTGTCGTGGGGCTCATCGATGATCACTATCACGAAAGGCCAAAGGTCGAGGGGTAGACTGGCGCTGGCCTGTGACCCCCCCACCCATCTTCTCGCCACCCTTCGTCAAATTTGGCGGCGAAGGACCCCCCTCCCCGAAAGGCAACCCCCATAACAGTCGCCATCCACGTCCCCCGCCNAAGTCGCTTTCCACCTACGACGCCACCCCCTCCGCCACCCACTCTTTATCCTCGACATACCTTACAAGTGAGGAGCCGCCTTGGACGAGCTTCCTCTTCTTGTTCGCGACGTRGCGACCCTTTTTCTCCCGGGAAGCCGCTTCCACTACTAGGTTGGCGGCAGACTTACCTCGTCCAGAACCGCGGGACAACATGACGCACGACACACCCACTTCAAGCTTGATCATCCTCGAAGTCAAGATCTCCGCTGCGATGGTGAAACGTGTCGTCGGATTCGGATCGTCGTCTCGACTGTGATGGTGGGTATGGCGATGATGCCGTCGCTGTCATCGACGGCCCGGAAGATGTTGTCGACGACAACCCGTAACGACGACGAAGACGATGACGGAGACGGCACGAAAGACGGCGAACGTGGCAATGATGGCGACGATGGTGTTGACGATGACGAATCTGAGTTGTGCACTCAATGGTGGAACAACGCGACGATGACGTTCAGATGTCCCACGGCGGATGTGGCGGCGACGATGGTGGATGGCCCCGTGCACTTAGCAAGGCGACGGCCTCAATCGCGGCGACGATGGCGACGATGGCGACCAAAGTGAGGATGGTGAGAAAGGCGATGAAGGCGGTGACGAAGACGACGACGACGTCGAACACGGGCACATAAAATGGCATTGAGTGGCCTTCGTGGCGTGCGACTACCTTCGTGCCACAGAGAAGAACAAGCGGGGAGAGGAGGCAGGAGCAGGTGAAGGCGATACAATGAGAAGGTTGGCGTATGTACCGTGATGAGCGAGTTTGGAGCCCAATCATGCATTTGGCAAGGATGACCGCATCCTTATAAACACACACCCGTGCTTGGTGGACGACGACGAACGAGCAGTACCCACGACTGTTAAACGACAACTCCATCGCCCTATTGTCAAAACGATGGTGTCGTGGGGCTCATCGATGATCACTATCACGAAAGGCCAAAGGTCGCGGGGTAGACTGGCGCTGGCCTGTGACCCCCCCACCCATCTTCTCGCCACCCTTCGTCAAATTTGGCGGCGAAGGACCCCCCTCCCCGAAAGGCAACCCCCATAACAGTCGCCATCCACGTCCCCCGCC